GATTGTCAAACTATGAACACCTTCTGTGTGAATTTATCTCTCTCTCTCTCTCTCTCTGTGTGTGTTTTTATACGTATGTTTGTATGTGGTGTGTGTGTCTGTGTCGTTGTCCTTTCTCGCGTTACATGTTCTCCAATAATTTCTTGTCGCCTGTCCTTTTCATACGTCAATAACAATTTTCCGCTAGCCCATTATATCCTAATAAAAATTACAGGGAAAATCGTTTTTCTCATCATCGACTTTTTTCTTCGTGTCAACTTTTTTTTTCTCTCATCTGTTTTTGTTTTTTTTTTGCGAGGCTAACATTTATTTTTATTTCATATTTTCTGATTTTTTAGTTTATAATTTCTCATGTGATTATTTAATTCATTTTTTTGCAATCGGAATATTTTTATTGTTATTTCTTTTCAATGTTTTATTTTAAATTTATTTTTGTATTTTTTTTCTTATTCGGCCCATTTCCTACTGTAATTAATTTTTTCTTGTATTATTTTTTTATTCAGCTCATTTCCTACTGTAATTAATTAATTTTTTTATTTTTATTAATTGCAATAGGAAATGAATTTCCTTCTGTAATTAATTTTTTTCTTACTTTTAGTTTAATTAGATTATATTTTTAGATGAACTAGACTGTCTGCGGCTTTTAGTTGAGACGCTCAGCTTATATATCAAGAGGCTCCGCCTACTTTCTCCCCACTCTCCGTTGGCACGTCACTCGGTCGTACTCGGAGACGCCGTTCGACTCTCTCCGCCGGTAGGCTCCGCCTACTTTTCCCCACTCTTCGCAGGCGCGCCGCTCGGTAGCTTTCGGAGTCGACGTTCGGCTCTCTCCGCCTGTAGGCGCCGCCTACTTTCTCCCCACTCTTCGCCTGATGTATTACTCGGACGCTTTCGGAGTCGATGATCGGCTGCCTTCGCCAAAAGGCCACCAAAAACTTATTTCCTTATTAAATTTTTAGTAAATTTAGAATCAAATAAAATAAATGTAAGTTGGTAGTAAAAATTACAAACAATAAATAAATTAATATTTAAATTATTTTTAATAATTTTGTACTAAAAATTAAAATTGATGTAAATACAAAAAATTAGAATATGAGCAATAATTACAAAATTAAAATAAAACTGATAGTGATAAGTAGTTGATATTTTGATTTCAACAGAAATCGACAAAAAGAAATTCAATATAAACAATAATCACAAAATAAAAGTGATAGTGATAAGTAGTTGATATTTTGATTTCAACAGAAACCGACAAAAAGAAATTTAATATAAACAATAATCACAAAATAAAAGTGATAGTGATAAGTAGTTGATATTTTGATTTCGACAGAAATCGACAAAAGCAAATTTAAAAAAATTTGTTTACTTTGATATTTTTTTTAAATTCTAGTTTTCCTTTAAAATTTGTTTTTAATTTCAAGTTTTATTTTGTATTTTTTCTATTTTTAAGTTTACTTTTGTATTTCATGTTTAATTCTGTATTTGTCTTCTGTCTTCAAATTTGATTTTTTATTTTAATTTTGCCATTATTTTTCAATTGTATTTTTGTTTTTTAATTTAAATTACAAATTAATATTTTGTTTTTTATTTTTTATTTCAGTTTTAATTTATAAAAAATATTACATAAATATTTATTTAAATGCCTAATGATAAAATAAATACCGCTCGCTTTTAGTTTCTACTCAAAGGTAAAGAGAAAAAAAAGAGAATATTTTTTTAAAATTAATTTTGCAATTAAGAATTTTTTCATTTTACAAAGTTGACAGTATTTTTGAGAAAAAAAAATACTAACACAATTAGTGGCGTAATTTTTCATATCTAGAGGCAATAATATTTCGCGCACTTTTCTCACCCTTATTAAAACGTTAAGCGAAAAATGCAACTCATATACAATCACACATGTCTCATTAAAAGCAAAATTATTTTTTTTTATTAATTTTTGTTTGCTTTAAAAAAAATTTTTTTCTTTTCTTTCAATGTTCATAAATTGTTCATACAAACGAGATTATTATCTCCCATGCGAAAAAATATAGAAAATATTTTTAAAGAAGAAAAAAATATAAATATAGAAATATAAAAATATAGAAATACATAAATATATAAATATAAATAAATATACAACTATAAAAATATAGAAATACATAAATATATAAATATATATAAATATATATATATATTTATACATATATAAAAATGTAGAAATTCTAATTAATATTTATTTTTTTTAATAATTATATAATTATAAAAAAGAACCTAAAATATAATTCGAATTCAGTTAAGTTTGTAACTATAATATTTTTCCTTTCTCTTCGCGGTGGGCGGATTTTTTATTTTAATTTTTAAATAAGCAATAAAGTTACAACAAATTCATTTGCGTGTGCATAAAAATAAAAAAAAATTTTATAGATTATTTTAGGAGAAGAAAAAAATTTCTTTTCCTTTTCCAACTTTTATTGTGTAGTTAAAAATTGAAAAATTAGGATTTAAAAGTCAGTTGAGGACTGGTGCGCATGCGCACGTGCGTTAGCGCTAAACATTAAATCAAACGACGACATAATAAAAATATTAAAAATCGCACACGACATAAGCGCGCGAGCGTTCAAGGATAACGATTTCTGTTGGAATATAAGTATATATATATTAAAATATATTTATGCAACAAACCAGAGAGAATCGACAGCAGTTATGACAACTCTGTAATTACGCTATTTCAAAAAAAAAAAAAAAAACTGTAGCAGATGCATAAATATTTGTTTAATAAAGATCTGTGCGCAAATCGCGTTTTTAATTTTTTAAATACTTTTACTTTTTATTTTTTTTAATGCTATTTTAATATTTCAAAGTTTTTTTATTTTTTCAATTTTGCTTCCTTAATTTATATTTGTTTTTTATTTTTTTACTTTGGTTTTTACTCATTTTTGTTTCCCTTAATTTAATTTTTTTATTTTCTATTTTTCTTTTTTCTCTTCTTTTATTTTCGTTCTTTTATCTTTTTCATTTTGGTTTTTATTTATTTACTTTTGTCTTCCTTATGTTTATTATTTATTTTTCTTCATTTTTTTATTTTTTTAAATTTTGTTTTTCTATATTTTTGACTTTTGTTTTTTTATTTTACTATTTCTATTACTTATTTTTAATTTTTTATAGTCTTTGATTTTCCTAGTTACTTTTTGTTCGATTTCCATTTTTTACTTTTGTTTATCCACTTTTTTATTTTCGTGTCTTTACGTAAAGCGAGAAATAGAAAATTAAAAAAATATATTTAAAAAAATAGTAAGATAAATATAAAAAGAGAAAATAATTTTTTAAGCTCGACTACAAATAAAGAAGGAAATATATTTATTTATAATTACACACCGGACATGTAAAACTGTAGGTTACAAAAAATTTATTTACTCACTCCTTACCATCAAAAAATAAAAAAAAAATTAATTACCAAAAAGAAAACTAAACTTTCTTTAACGGCAGTTCTCACGAGCCAGTGTTGAGAGCCAATTAACAATTTAATCTCAAAAGTACTCATTAAATTGAGCCTGATTAATTACCCTCGGTAGCGCCACGGGCCATCTCTTCGCTCTCAGTGTGTGTTGTCAACGCTTTTAAAATTAAAAAAAAATTTCCTCTTTTCTTTTTTAAAATTTTTTTTTCTAAATTTCTTTTTAAATTTTTTCCTTAATTATATTTTTTCTCTCTAACAATTGAAATATTTAGCAAAAAAAACAAACAACATAATTTTTGATTTTTTTCCTCTCTAGCAATTGAAATATTTAGCAAAAAAAAATAAAAAACAGAAACATTAGGACGTAAAAAAATTTACCTCTCAAGGTTACAAACTTGTACAGTTTATTTAATTACAGTAAACGTTTAGAGGAAAATGAATTTTATGGTTATTTAAACACAAAAGTCAAGACCCTGGAAAGACTAATAGTGCAATGAAAACATTGTTCATTAGCTCTCTGGAATTTATGTTTACATTTAGGACCTTGGACAAAGATAATTGAATTTCAATAATTTCACTTTTATATTTTCTTCTATTTCGCAATTTTCCGAGGCTTGGGTTATTTTTTTGCATTTTTCCCTCTTTCGAAAAATTATTCTTAATATTATTTTCTGTTCTTTTATTAACATCTATTAGATATTTTTGAAAAATATTTATTAATCTCAGTCCTAAAGTATTATAAATAATATATTTATTTATTTAGAAAATCAAGATAAAAAAATAAAATTTTCTTTGTGTTGGGGCGAAGGATATTTAAGGGGGTCCGTTGCGAGGTTCGAAATAGATAATAAATTCTAAATTCGCACATTTTCCCTTTTTTCAATTATAGGTCAGAATTTCACCTTAAAAAACCCTTTCCACTTGGGCACTAAAGAAACTCTTTTTAGTCTAGTTTCTTCTTCCTCTCTTAGCAGACTGGCTGTGGGCTTTGGTCGAGACGCTCGTCTTTATATACCAAGAGGCTCCGCCTACTTTCCCCCACTCTTTGCTGGCGCGCCGCTCGGTCGCTTTCGGAGTCGCCGTTCGGCTCTCTCCGCCGGAAGGCGCCGCCTACTTTCCCCCCCACTCCTCACTAGACGCGCTACTCGGGCGCTTTCGCAGTCGACGCTCGGCTGCCTCCGTCAAAAGGCGCCGTCTACTTTACCCCCACTCTTTTTTAGGGGGCGTCGCTTGTTTTCCTTACAAACAATCTTTTCGACATTCAGAACTCGTTCGACAGGGTATTTACCATAATCAAGACTTGAAGAAATATATATCAAACTGTGGAAAAAAATAAACAAACTAAAGTAAAACATGAGAAGTAAAAACAATTACTAAGAAGTAAAAAAATAAATGAAAGTGACAATGAAAAAAATTAATAAAAAGAAAAAAAATTACAGTGACAATGAAAAAAATTAATAAAAAGAAAAAAAATTACAGTGGCAATGAAAAAAATAAATAAAAAATTACTGATTCAATACGAGAATAAATAATAATAAAAAAAAATTTTTTTTTCTTACAGAAGGCGTCATTTGCTTGGACCGAGGGTGGCGAGGAAGGTGGAGGGGGAGGTGGCGGTGGAACCGGAGGAGCCGGAAGTGGAGGAACTGGCGCCACAGGGGGCGGTGGATTGGCCCATTGGGTCAGTGTCATGGCGGAGCACATTCACAATCCACATTCGGCCACCGGAGTCGGTGGTGTTCATCATCAACAGCAATCGCCACCGCAGCCACCCTATCCCTGGAACAATGGACTCTCCAGCGATGTAAGTCTTTCAAAACAATTTTTTTTTTAATTTAGCAGGGAAAAGTAAATTAATAAAATTAATTTCGGAAAGAAAAATAAATTAATAAAATACATTTAGCAAGGGAAAATTAAATAATAAAATTAATAACTTAGGGATGAAAAATAAATCCTTAAAATTAATTTAGAAAAGAAAATGAAATTGATAAAATTAATTTAGCGCGGAAAAATCATATAATTAATAATTTAGCAAAAAAAAAATAATGAAAGTAATTTGGGGAAGAAAAATAAATCATAAAAAATGAATTTAGCGCTGAAAAATAAAATAATACAATTAATAATTTAATAAAGAAAAACTAAATTAATACAAGTAATTTAGGGTAGAAGAATAAATTATTAAAAATAAATTTGGCGCGGAAAACAATAATACAATTAATAATTTAATAAAGAAAAATAAAAGTAATTTAAGGAAGAAAAATAAATTAATAAAATCAAATTTAGGAAAGAGAATTAAATTGATAAAATTAATTTAGCAAGGGAAAGTAAAGCAATACAATTAATAACTTAGCAAAAAAAATCATGAAATTAATTTAGCAAAGAAAAATAAATTAATAAAAATAAATTTAGCACGGAAAAATAAAATAATACAATTAATAATTTAATCAAGAAAAATAAATTAATAAAAGTAATTTAAGGAAAAAACAATAATTAATAAAAATGAATTTAGAAAAGAGAATTAAATTGATAAAATAAATTTAGCAAGGAAAAATAAAATAATACAATTAATAACTTAGCAAAGAAAAATAAATTCGTAAAATTAATTTAGCAAAAAAAAATAAAAAAATACAATTAATAATTTAGCAAAAAAAAAAAGAAAGTAATGAATGTAACTTAGGGATGAAAAATAAAGAAATAAAATTAATTTAGGAAAGAGAATTAAATTGTTAAAATTAATTTAGAAAGAAGAAATAAAATAATAAAATTAATAATTTAGCAAAGAAAAATCAATTAATAAAATTAATTTAAGAAAGAATTTTTTTTTTTTTTTTTTTTTTTTTTAAAGGAAAGAGAATTAAATTTATAAAATTAACAAAGGTAAGAGAATTAAATTCATATAATTAATTTATTAACGAAAAATAAATTAGTTTACAAAATAAAATAAAGAACTTAGAAAAAAATAGTTCTAAATTAAAAAAAAAATTTACAAGTTCAAAAAAAAATTCGACGGTTACGAAAAAAATGAACCCAACCCGGAACAAGAACTCCTTAGATAATTTTCCATTTCGCGAGACGATAAACAAAAAAAAGAAGACAAATTTCATCCGCACATAAAAAAACACAGCAAACAAGAAACGGTCATATGTCCCCTGAAAGAATTTTTTTTTGTTTTTTACTCCTGCATAAATTTTCGTCCGAGGGATTAGAAATCTACCTTCAGACAATAAAAAAAAAAAAAAAAAAAAAAAATTTCTAACGCTGGCAAAAAAAATGCGAAAGGGTTGTGAAAGGTCGTTCTTTGCATATTAGAGAGACGAGGAAGGAGAAAAACAAAAAAAAATTAAAAAAAAAAAATAAACGGAAATGCAAAAAAAAAGTTCTAAACCAGGAATAGGGGTTTTCGGAGGGGAGGGATTATCATCATCACTAAAATAAAAACGAATGTCAGTGATGGTGGGGGAAGAGACGCTGTTCATTTGAATAGTACAATTGTGTGTGCCTTGTATGATTATGTGTATAGTCATCTCTCAGAATGGGGCGAGAGAAACTACCCAAAGCAGGACCAGGCGCTTCCTTTCGATTGTCTTTTTTTTTCTCTCATCATCTCTCTTTCTCTCTCTCCAGCTTTTGCTGTCTCCTTTGTTTTTTTCGCGCATTTCGTCGTATGATATTCAAATTTGAATTTCACTGGCACCACCTTCCCTTCTGTTCTTGTCTTTTTTTTCATCTCTAGCGGAAAACGCATAGCATTTGTCGGTTAATTTTTTTTTTTTTTTTTTTTTTTTTTTTTTTTTTTTTTTTTTTTAATTTCAAAGGAGAAGAGTTTCGTTCGGGTTGATGGTTTTTAGACAATTGCTGACAATTGCTTTCTTATTTATTTATTAGCCCCATGGAATTTTTTTTCGCTTTTTAGCCCAGAGAGAAGTAAATTTCTAAATTTGAAATATATTTAACAATATTTATTTACTGTTGTTTATATTTTATTATTTCTCTTGTCATGTGGACGTACAAAAATAAAATTAGCAAAGATGGGAAAAAAATTTTAAAAAACAGACAAATTTATATTTATTTATGTATATGAATCTAAACAATAAATAAATTAACATTAAAATTAATTCAAAGTTGATTTGGACAATAATGGTGAATTTATAAACTTACAAATTAAATTTGAATGTAAACAGTAATAAAAAAAAATAAATAAATAAAGTGATAGTGATAAGTAGTTGATATTTTCATCACACCAAAAATCGGACTTCGCTAATAAATTGCTAATAAATTCAATTCCTGCAACGAATTTTATTATTCACGAAAGAATTTAAATGTTTAGAAAAATAATTTAATTCCTGCAAAGAATTTTATTAAAATTTTTAAATAATTAATTTCTTTTCACTAATATTATGAATATTGTGAATTTAAATAATTGAATTTTACGAAATTTTATTTAAATAATTGAATTCTGTTTGGAAATTTTATGAAAATAGTAAATATTGAAAATCATTGAATTGCGAAAAGTTTTTGAAAGTAATTAAATTTCACAAAAAATTCTATTAAAATTTTTAAGAATAATAATTGAATGTCTGTGTGGTAATTTATTAAATTTTTTTTTAAATTAATTGAATTCCTAAAAAGCATTTTATTATTTCAGAAAATAATTGAATTTTTGCGAACGATTTTATTAGAATTTCTTAAAATAATTAAATTCCGAAGAAAAAATTATTACTTTTAAAAATAATTGAATTCTTGTAATGAAATATTGTTATTTATAAATTTTTGGGAAAATTTTGTTATTTTTTTTAAATAATTGAATTCTTGTGATGAATATTGTTATTTGTGAAAATAATTGAATTTTTCAAGGAATTTTTATTATAAAATGCCTCAAAATAATTGAATTTTCGTAAATAATTTTGCTATTTATCGAAATAATTGAATTTTTTCGAAGAATTATTTTTGTAAATAATTTGAATTCTTCCAAAGAATTTTAAAAAACATTTTTTTTAATAATTGATTTTTTCGAGGAATAATTGAAATTAAATTTTTAAGAATAATTAAATTTTTTTAACAATTTCTCTAAAATTGTATTAAAAATAATTAAAATTTTGCAATTAATTTCATTATTTTTATGAAAATAATTGAATAGCTTTAAAGAATTTAAAAAAAATTTTCAAAAATAATTAAATTCCTTAGAAGAATTTTATTATTTTTAAAAATAATTGAATTATTGCGAAAAATTTTATAAAAATATTTTAAAAGAATTGAATTTTTGTGAACAATGTTATTATTTTTGAAAATAATTGAATTATTGCGAACGATTTTATTAGAATTTCTTAAAATAATTGAAATCCGAAGAAAAAATTTATTACTTTTAAAAATAATTGAATTCTTGTGATGAATTTTGTTATTTATAAAAATAATTGAATTCTGCAAAGAATTTTATTAAAAAATTCTTCAAAATAATTGAATTTTTGGGAATTATTTTGTTATTTATCTTTAATAATTGAATTCTTTCGAAGAATTATTTATACGTAAATAATTGAATTCTTGGGAAGAATTTTATTATATTCTAAAAGAATAATTGAATTATTTCAAAAAAATTTAATTACAATTGTATTCAAAATAATTCATTTCTTTCGACAATTTTATTAAAATTTTTTAAAATAATTGAATTTCTGTGACAATTTCTAATATTTTTAAAAATAATTAAATTCTTGCAAAGAATGATAAATAAAACATTTTTTTAAATAATTGATTTTTTCAAGGAATTGAAATTAAATTTTTAAAAATAATTACATTTTTCAAGGAATTTGATTAGAATTGTATTAAAAATAATTGAAATCCTGCGATGAATTTTATTATTTATGCAAAAATAATTAAATGCTATTACAATTTTATAATTAATTTTCTAAAATAATTGAATTCTTGAGAAGAATTTTATTATTTTTCAAAATAATTGAATTATTGCGAAAAATTTTATTAAAATGCCTCAAAATAATTGAATTTTCGTGAAAAATTTTGTTATTTCTGGTAATAATTGAATTTTTTGATTAATAAAATTAAAATAGTATTAAAAATAATTAAAATTCTTCGATGAGTTTTATTATTTATAAAAATATCTATAATTGAGTTTTGGATGAATTTCATCAATTTTTTTTTTTTAAATAATTCAATTATTTTGCAAAAAATTTATTAAAATACTACATATTGAAAATAATTGAATTTCGAATATTTTTTTCGAAAATAATTAAATTATAATTTATAATTATAAAAAATAGAACTTTTTTTTAATAACGGTAAAATAAATAAAAAAAATTTTTTTCAATAAAAACTAGTGGGGATAGAAACCAGTTTTTACTTTCGGTGCGAATATAAAAAAACAAAAGTGAAGAGAGAGGGGAGTTTGTTTTTCTTAAGAGGAAAATTAGAAGCTCTCCTCTCTACTGATCAGTGGTGACGTGGTGGCGAATACAATGATGAAAAGAGATGAAATTACAATTTGAATGGGACGCCTCTCGAAATTGCTTATATATAGTTAAAGAGACGACGTGTAGAACCTGCAGTAGTCGATTCTTTTCTCTCTCTCTCATTTGCCTCCACTCCCTATTTTAAATACTTATCATAAATACCGTCTTCCTTCTTCTAAACCCGCAAGGCGAGCGTCAAAAAACACAAGGCGAATATCTATGACAATAAAAAATGATTTAAATAATCCTCGTCATGCAAATGCTCGTGAGATTCTCACGGGACATTTTATAGATTTGTGTTTTCAAGTAGTCGGTCAGGCTCTATGGGTGAAGGGGAGGGGAGGGG